CAATCTCAATTGGAAAATAGTTCGTTTCTTTGTGACCCCTGCATAAAATTAAAGCGATGACCTTCCATTTTTCTGAGTTAAAGTCATGCCTTACGTACGGAATTTTTATATTAGCACCAACGGTACACCTTTCCATGAAGTGAAACCAGAACTCTGACAACACGTCTCTAAATATGCCTCCAGCATCTTCACCATTATGTCCTATCATTTTTATTTTAATGGGTGGGCCGCCTTTTCCCATAGTCATGAATATTTTAATAAGCTCATCAAATACGTGCCCCCGCCGAAGAAATAGAACATTGTAATCGCTATATTCTATGTCAGTGTTACTTGGTGTCTCCGATTGAGTAGTATCAACTGAAATATTTTCAATAATATACACTTCATTATCGGCAAACATTTATTCTGGCACAAAATTCGAGTAAAACTGTCTGAGTCCATTAAAGTCCTACCATACGTCTGAGTTAGATGTAGTGGTTATATTGCTACGAATGGGTGCATCCTGATTCTGAATTAAATCTACTACTTGTTCATTGGGTTCGTCACTTGTTTCAATAGGATCAGGGTGGGTCTTAGTTATAGTTTGTACAATTTCTTTAGTAGCTAGATATACCTTCACTTTGCAATTTGAAAATTTAGTTTTTTCGAACATATCTTCAACAGTTACATGACTTTCTATTTGAGTACATTGAAAGTCCTTCAGGTTAACTGAAAATTTTTCCAAATTTCCTTTTGGGGAAAATTACTATCTGTCACAACTAATTCTCCACAAACTTGTTTCCAAGGCAACTAAGCGCATGTTTCCAAAGCATAATATGTTTAATGTAGAAAATAAATCAAAATGATTTCGTATTCATCGCATGCAAGCAATGTTATTTTAGGGTTTTTCTCGAAAACGGTTAGATTTATCGAAACAAATAAAATATACCTTTTTTATGTTAAAAGGTTAGGAGAACAAAAATATTCAGTCAAAAGTCGCATAAAGTGTAGCACAAAAAAGTTGGAACCATTCAAATCAAAATAAAGGCTGGTATGTGGCGCCCTCTACAAAATGCGAAAAAACGGTGGGCAAATTTATAATCCTCATCCCGAAAAACCCCCATATAGGAAATTTCGTCAAAATATTTTGAGTGTGGCAAAAGATATTGCAAAAAAACTGCAAATAAAATTTAACTTTAACACCCTGTAACTCCGTTAATAATCAGTTTTGGAAAAAATGTTATAGAAAGAGGTAGCATTTATTTTCAGTCTAGAATTATCCCCTGAATTTTTTGCTCATAATTTCCGGACACCCTGTATCTAGGAAATCCAAAGTCTATAATTTCTTGTTATTAGTAAAATACTAACCTTGATAAATCAATATTTTTCAAGGAAAAACAGAAATCGTCGCCTTCTGGACACCGCGTGATACGCATTAGTAATATATTTGCTACACACTCTGCGCCGACGTACGACGACGTTTTTATGGTAACGTTGCGACCTGTAAGCGAATTATTTGAGAGTGGTGGGGAATATTCACTTTGTCCGGGGTATTCGCTTTGCCCGGGTTTCCCCTATTCTTAATCGGTACCTTTAGAAACCACTTTCTGCAAGATTACATCATTTACTTCAAAGGAGTTTGAGATAAGGGCCATCAAAAAACAATTTTTTTCAACTTAAAATAATTTGTATCTGTAAAACGGACCATTAAATGAAAAAAAAAAACGTACGTGTTAACTTGAAAAACGGGACACACTGTATATAAACTTATATTATTATATTTATGGAAAAAATTAAATTATTTCTCTACAACTTACGTTTATATGTAACTGACTTTTCTTTGCTCGTTTGAGCACTTTTTTCCTTTTCTTTTTGTTCTAAAAATAAAATTAAAAGTACTTATTAAATTTTACCTTGCATTTTGATTAATTTTAATTCTTTAAACTGCATATTACTAAAAAAATTAACAATCAAGAATAAAGTATTACAATTTTTTCAAGGGATTGTCAAAAATAAATTAAGTATGTAGGGGAACCACGGGTAAGACGGGGACGCTAAGCATTTATATTAATGAAAATAAAACCAATCGGTGAAAAAGTAAAATTTATTCCAAACATTCTTTGGATAACATCCATAACTCTTTAGGCATAAAAGTATTCGGCTTAACATACACCAAAAAACTGAAAAATGTATTAATTTATAAACAGAAAAATATCCCATCTTGACCCGGGCACGGGGAAAGATGGGGTAGCCCCCGGGGTAAGATGGGGTTTATTTACAAAAATCGCATATGTGGCCGATTTCCAGAGGGTCACTTTCGTCCACCCCGGCGCAAGAATTGTGGGACCATCTTTGACATACCTGACATGCAACCCATCCTTCAGTGGACTCCGAATACCTGTGATCACAGTATAAACATTCCGTGGCATTTTCAGCTGTATTTATAACAACATCATGTGTCCCGTTCGTTTTCTTTTTAGGCTGTCTTCTCAATGACTTTTGGTTTTTTCTTTGCTACGGAGGGAGTATTCTTAGCTTCTTCAAGATCTCTTTTATACGGCGGAGAGGTAAGGATTGCTGTTTTGCCTCGACGGCAATTCTTTCTTTTAGCTTTCATACCTACAGTAGGAACAGGCATTATCTGACTTGGAGTATAATGTTCAAAGCTGCTATTTAAGTTACGGCAAGCTTTTTTTGCAGAGAAGGCAAGCGAACAGTTTTATATGGAAAGTCACATGGCGGTGGGGTTTTATATAAAGGACTGTGGCGCGACATTGCGAGCATACTTAAAGGAAGATTATCATCATTATCTGAATTTTGGTAGCTAGTAGACGGAACCACATCGCTTATGTTAGGCTGAACATCTATATGGGCCTGATAGCTAGTAGATGGGAGAACCTCGGGAAGAACTTCATTTATCAACACGTATGGTTGAGAAAGTTGATGGAAACTGGTAAACGGAATGTCATTGTTACTTATGTTTGTCTGAATGTCTTTAAGATTTTGGCGGATGGTAGAAGGAAAAATAACTGAATTTGTACTAGCATGTGGTTGAGGAACTTGCTCATCCCCATAAGATTTATGTTCGTTGTTTCTACAGCAAGAAAATCGGCATCTGTAAAGTTCTCAGGGTTGAATGGCCATATACCGCATTTACGAAATCCGTTGATGGCTGTGGACATGATGGCGGCTTGTATACAAGCTTTTCCAAAAATTTCGCTTATCTGAAACATGCTTAAAACTCTACCTGGATTGGACCTAAGCCAAGCGATTGCAGCTTGGTCGTAGTATACACTCAAGGGCTTCATAAAAGAAACATCTAGTGGTTGAAGCCTATGTGTGCAATGAGGGGGGAAGCAGATTATAACCACGCCGTTTTCTCTAGCAACGTCTATAAGCTCGATGTTCTTGGTGTGAGTAGCGTGACCGTCGAGTAAAAGCAGCACAGGGTTGTCTTTGCTTGCTCTACTGAATTGAATGAAACTTTTGAACCAAGAGACAAATACGTCTGTAGTCATCCATCCGCTGGCATTACAATGGGAAGTTGTTCCTCGTGCCGAGTTGTTTAATAATTGAGCTTTCATGCGCTTGCGAGGGAAGATTAGCATTGGCGGCATATAGCTTCCTGCAGCGCTAACACAAATTTCGACGGTAACTGTTTGTCCTCGTTCAGCTGACGATAATGATCCCACTTGCTTCCTACCCCTGCGTGAAATTATCTTGGATTTTGTTTTAGAAACCGATGAGATGCCTGTTTCATCACAGCTGTAAATCCTATCAGACCCTAACTTATATTTATTTAATACAGCACCCAAAAGTTCATAAAATTTTGCAACGGAGATCTTATTGAATCTCATAGCTCTGGCAGCTGAGGTTGCTTCGGGTTTTCTTATTGATAAGTCACAATGACGTTTTAAAAACCCTATGACCCAATCGACACCAGCGAGTTTGGCTGTTGTATTAAATCTGCGTTTCTTACCATTTTTGACAGCCAATTGATAGGCCAAACTTCTCAGCTCCAGCGTATTAGTCCGAATAACCTTGCTTCCATTTCTTTTAAATATTCGACTAATTCATTTTCTTCTTTTTTTACTGAAAATTGTTGTAATTGGTCCTAACTGGGTAAATATAAGTTCATTTCACCTTTGGTTTTAATCGCATTAACGTGTCTTTCCAACGTTGTTTGTGGCACTGAATATTGCAATGCCGCTTTGCGGTAACCCATTTCTTTGTTTAAGACTTTTTCAACGGCCTGTTTCATACTTTCTTTGGACCACTCTCCCCTCGATGTGTTTTTTATATTTGCGAACCATTGTACTGAAAACAAACACCTATTTTAATAGTGCATGTATCTTTTAATTAGTAATAAATTTTTCAATATGATTTCTTAGGAACAGAAATATTGGGGCAAGATGGGGTACCCAAGAAATATAGAACCCCATCATGCTCCAAACCCCATTTGTTACAAAAGTTGTTTTATTACCTTTTCCAATCGACTTTAAAAAACAAATGCTTTTGGCTAAATACGCCCCTATGCTGGTAAACTGTAGTGAGAATAATGTTTTTTGCTTTAACTGAATGCACACTTTTTGACACCCGATGCTTTAAGCCGTAAAATAAGATCACTCATACGTAAAACTCATAAATCAGTCATAACCTCCAAACGGTGTACTTCGAACTGCTGTTCTGCAATCACTGAGCAGAATTGTCGTCTAGGGAGTCCAAGGTTATGCAGTAAAGCTATCCATACGTGTTAGGTTTTGGAGTAAGTACAGGTACCCCGTCTTACCCCTAGTTCCCCTACGTGTTAACTTGAAAAACGGACACACTGTATATAAACTTATATTATTATATTTATGGAAAAAATTAAATTATTTCTCTACAACTTACTTTTATATGTAACTGACTTTTCTTTGCTCGTTTGAGCACTTTTTTCAGCATACTCAAAGGAAGATTATCATCATCATCTGAATTTTGGTAGCTAGTAGACGGAACAACATCGCTTATGTTAGGCTGAACATCTATATGGGCCTGATAGCTAGTAGATGGACAACCTCGGGGAGAACTTCATTTATCAACACGTATGGTTGAGAAAGTTGATGGAAACTGGTAGACGGAATGTCATTGTTACTTATGTTTGTCTGAATGTTTTTGATTTTGGCGGATGGTAGAAGGAAGAATAACTGAATTTGTACTAGCATGTGGTTGAGGAACTTGCTCATCCCCATAAGATTTATGTTCGTTGTTTCTGCAGCAAGAAAATCGGCATCTGTAAAGTTCTCAGGGTTGAATGGCCATATACCGCATTTACGAAATCCGTTGATGGCTGTGGACATGATGGCGGCTTGTATACAAGCTTTTCCAAAAATTTCGCTTATCTGAAACATGCTTAAAACTACCTGGATTGGACCTAAGCCAAGCGATTGCAGCTTGGTCATAGTATACACTCAAGGGCTTCATAAAAGAAACATCTAGTGGTTGAAGCCTATGTGTGCAATGAGGGGGGAAGCAGATTATAACCACGCCGTTTTCTCTAGCAACGTCTATAAGCTCGATGTTCTTGGTGTGAGTAGCGTGACCGTCGAGTAAAAGCAGCACAGGGTTGTCTTTGCTTGCTCTACTGAATTGAATGAAACTTTTGAACCAAGAGACAAATACGTCTGTAGTCATCCATCCGCTGGCATTACAATGGGAAGTTGTTCCTCGTGCCGAGTTGTTTAATAATTGAGCTTTCATGCGCTTGCGAGGGAAGATTAGCATTGGCGGCATATAGCTTCCTGCAGCGCTAACACAAATTTCGACGGTAACTGTTTGTCCTCGTTCAGCTGACGATAATGATCCCACTTGCTTCCTACCCCTGCGTGAAATTATCTTGGATTTTGTTTTAGAAACCGATGAGATGCCTGTTTCATCACAGCTGTAAATCCTATCAGGCCCTAACTTATATTTATCTAATACAGCACCCAAAAGTTCATAAAATTTTGCAACGGAGATCTTATTGAATCCCATACCTCTGGCAGCTGAGGTTGCTTAGGGTTTTCTTATTGATAAGTCACAATGACGTTTTAAAAACCCTTGGACCCAATCGACACCAGCGAGTTTGGCTGTTGTATTAAATCTGTGTTTCTTACCATTTTTGACGGCCAATTGATAGGCCAAACTTCTCAGCTCCAGCGTACTAAGTCCGAATAACCTTGCTTCCATTTCTTTCAAATATTCGACTAATTCATTTTCTTCTTTTTTACTGAACACTGTTGTAATTGGCCCTAACGGTAAATCTAAGTTCATTTCACCTTTGGTTTTAATCGCATTGACGTGTCTTTCCAACGTTGTTTGTGGCACTGAATATTGCAATGCCGCTTTGCGGTAACCCATTTCTTTGTTTAAGACTTTTTCAACGGCCTGTTTCATACTTTCTTTGGACCACTCTCCCCTCGATGTTTTCTTTTTATATTTGCGAACCGTTGTACTGAAAACAAACACCTATTTTAATAGTTCATGTATCTTTTAATTAATAATAAATTTTTCAATATGATTTCTTAGGAAGAGAAATATTGGGGCAAGATGGGGTACCCAAGAAATATAGCACCCCATCATGTCCCAAACCACATTGGTTACAAAAGTTGTTTTCTTACCTTTTCCAACCGACTTTAAAAACAAATGCTTTTGGCTAAATACGCCCCTATGCTGGTACACTGTAGTGAGAATAATGTTTTTTGCTTTAACTGAATGCACACTTTTTGACACCCGATGCTTTAAGCCGTAAAATAAGATCACTCATACGTAAAACTCATAAATCAGTCATAACCTCCAAACGGTGTACTTCGAACTGCTGTTCTGCAATCACTGAGCAGAATTGTCGTCTAGGGAGTCCAAGGTTATGCAGTAAAGCTATCCATACGTGTTAGGTTTTGGAGTAAGTACAGGTACCCCGTCCTACCCCTAGTTCCCCTACGTGTTAACTTGAAAAACGGACACACTGTATATAAACTTATATTATTATATTTATGGAAAAAATTAAATTATTTCTCTACAACTTACTTTTATATGTAACTGACTTTTCTTTGCTCGTTTGAGCATTTTTTTCCTTTTCTTTTTGTTCTAAAAATAAAATAAAAAGTACTTATTAAATTTTACCTTAAGGCCCCCATAGACGCTAAGGTTTACCGGAAGGCCGGCCTTCCGGTCTTTAAACCGGAAGGCCAAACCTGTACTCACGGATGCGCCACAGACTATAAGGTTTCATGAAGGTAACCCTTCCGGCTTCTATACCAGAAGGCCAAAACATGTACTCTCGACGTCGGAATACACACTACGTTTTTACAGCGGCTTTGCGTGTTATTTTTGTTATTTTTAGTCAGTATTTTCAAAAATTCGTTTTGACAACATCCGATCGATAATAAAAAATGGCTTTCGAAGAAGACTTGATACTGATAGGCTTGGCAGTCGCTTTACTACCCAATAATAATCATAATAAAAAACAAAAAATAAAACGTAAACGTTCGAAATGGGTGAAACAGTGGTTAAATAGGCAAACACATAACAGTCTTATTAACGAACTGCGGTTAGAACCAGATGACTACCGAAATTACTTGCGGATGAACGAAGAAATATATACCGAGTTGCTAGGGCTTGTTTCTCAAATAATTCAGAAAGAAGATACTATAATGCGACAAGCGATTACTCCTCATGAAAGGTTAACTAGTACTTTGAGATTCCTAGTTACAGGAAGAAATTACGAAGATCTTAAGTTTTCAACTGGCATTTCTGCACAAGCTCTAGGAAAAATAATACCAGAGACATGTAGAGCGATATTTGATGTTCTTCAGGAAAATTATTGCAAGGTAAGTCGAATAACATTTTTCTTTATTAAAAAAACAGATAAATATTATAAGGAATCATTATTTATTATGTATTATGTGGATTAAATGCTCCGTAATAAGAACTTGCTGTTTGTGATTGATCCTGCCAGGAAGGCGGTTGATGATATTCAGAAGCAGTTAAAACCGAAGTTGATGCAATCTCTCCATGACGTTGAGGCAGCAGCCCTGATGTCGTATACATCGCGTTACTTTGTTGAGAGTTGGTTACTGTAATAAAATAAAAATAATAATACACCATAATAATCAGAATATTTTGAATCATACTATTAGTGAGTGGTTGTGATACAATCCAGGATTGCCCATTTAACGATCCACATTTCGCTTCAAAGATGGCATCATTTATAATTTTTTGACAGTATGTAGCCATCTTAGGCGGTAAGGCATCGAATTCCTGCCCAACGTATACACCGTAATTCGAATATTTATTTGGGCTTTGTAATTTGACTGCGACTAATTGTAATACTGTTTCTTGGTGATTTAATGGTTCTGTAGCTTGGCGCTTAGCTACTTTGCTACGTTTCCTTCTTATGGAAGTAGCTGCCGAACTCAGCGATGGTGTAGTAACAGAAGAAATAGGCGATTGCACTGATTCTTGGTCTTGAGAAATTTCTGGTCTGAACCGTCTTTCTGTCGTGATGCATTATCATTTTCTGTGTCGTCATGCTATAAATTGATGTTTCTTATTTTGATTTCTAAAATACATTACTAATCTAATAATATTTGTTTTTACTGTTTCCACGCACAAGACAAGAGTGGGAACAAATAGGACTAGATTTTGAGAATAGATGGCAGTTTCCAAACTGTTTAGGTGCAGTTGACGGGAAGCATGTAAGAATAGTACCTCCAGCAGGAAGTGGATCATACTACTACAATTATAAACAATTTCACAGTATAGTATTGATGGGTATTGCAAATAGTAACTACGAATTAATACTGTTTGATGTGGGTACAAATGGACGAGTATCTGATGGTGGTGTTATTAACAATACATCTTTTTACAAAGCATTATTAAATGAAAAATTAAATTTACCTCCAATAAACCATCGTAATAATCTTCCATATGTATTCATTGGAGATGAAGCTGTTGCTCTTCGAAAGGATTTTTTGAAACCATATAGTGAAAGAGAACTAAATGTTGATCGTTCAAACTTTAATAAACGCTTAAGCAGAGCAAGACGAATAATAAAAATGTTTTTGGCATATTAGCTAGTAGAGTTCGTATATTTCATACAGAAATTGGAATATCAGTGGAAAATATTGAAATTGTAATAATGACTTGCTGTGCACTGCACAATTATTTACGAAATAAAAATCCAAATTATTGCATAGAAGTTTCCCAAGACGACAATTTATGTGTACAACAAGACAATTTGACTTCTCTTCAAAAGGGTCACGGCAGTAGGCGTTCTACTGACGATGCTAAAGAAGTGCGTGAACTATTTCTTCAATATTTTAAAAATAATACCTAATTAATTTAATTTAAAATATGTAACACGCTTGTATATGCAAAACTTTTATAAAATATTAAATAATTGTACCTTAAAACGATGTTTTTGTTCTCATTGGTAACAAATCACATTATTAAAGTAGCCATTTAAAAATACATATATTATAGTAGGTACCTATATAGCAACCTCGTCTTCTTCACTATCGGTTGCTGATAAATTTGCATTTGATTGGCTTTTTCGAGGAACTTCGTGATCATAAAGGAAATCAAGATGATGAAAATACCACAAAGAAGGTTCATATGTTTCTCCACTCAAGCCAGTTCTTTTGCTGGATTTCATTTTTTTCAGTTCCTTCCTGTACGAGCTACGCATATTATTAATTTTTTTAACCACCAAATCTTTTGTTGCTGTTGGATCTACCGTTTTCAACATATCTACCAATTGAGCGTAAGCTGCTATTTTCATTGGTTTGTTTGTATAGTCTTTGCTTTTTATATTGTACAAATACGGCAGTTCTCGATAGCGTTCAATAAACTTTTCAATAAACTCATGAGACCAATTTCTCATATCAGCCATAATAATAAACTATAGTAATAACGTTCACCACTAATAAACCCACTAAAAAATAAAACTCTAGACTGTGTAGACGTCTAGGCATAACAATAAAACCTTCCGGATCGGCCTCCGATGCACATACACGTTACGACTTGTTAAATTACGACACGGCCGGCCGGCAGACAGGCCTCNTGTTTTGTCTGATGAATATAAAAATCGGGTGCTAGTTTATTTCATATCAATTATAACGTGAACACGAGAGCGATGGGCTCTATTGATAAATTTTGACCTCTAAAAGGGCATAATTGCGTAAGTCAACGTGGTCCGCAAGGTGTCTGTTTTAAACTTACCAATGAAAAAGGAAAAAGAAGGAAAACAATTAAAAAATATTGGAGATCCTAAAAATGAAAAAGATGGAACCACGCTAAAATATGTGAATGAAGTAGTGAATGGTTGTAAAGAAGACATCCTTTTAGCAGTGCAAAAATCAGCCAATCTCATCACGAATAACTTAATAGCTTACATAAACAGGGAACGAAATGAAATCGTCGCTGAAGTGACAAAAATTATTCAAGAGTTACAATTAAAAACGGATAAAACGATAAGCGATATTGGACTTCAACTGGAAGCATTAGAAAAAAACATTGAGAGAAATTGGAATGTTCATCACAAGTTGGCGTTAGATATACAAAAAATTGAAAAACTCGTTGAGAAAAATCATCCCCCGAAAGATACAGGAAGATTAGTATTTCCATCTATGGGGTTACGACCAATTGATTCGTAGATAAAAAGGTAGCGGATCGTCACGAAAAAATCATTCCAAAAAAGGACAGTGGAACATTTGTATTACCCTGTTTGAACCACAAAGTAATCTAAAAAAAAGAATAAAAATGCTTATTAGTGATACAAAACGACAAATTGTCAATGAGTTACACAAACCCGCCCGAAAGAATTTTAGAAGAAGAAGAACCATAATAAAAGGGTTTGCAGACTTATGGCAAATCGACTTGGCTGAAATGCAAGATTTTGCGAACAAAAATAAAGGTCATCGATATATACTCATAGTAATTGATTGTTATTCTAAATATGTTTGGGCCAAACCGTTAAAGAAAAAAACAGCTATGGAGGTTTCTACAGCGATGAAAAATATTCTTAGAGAAGCTACTTATTCCCCAACAAACTTACAGAGCGATCAAGGGCTTGAATTTTACAACCGTCAATTCTCTACACTGATGCATCAGTATGGTATAAATCATTATTCCACATTCAGCACAAAAAAAGCAGCAATGGTAGAACGTGTAATTAGAACCCTGAAAAATTGGATATACAAAGAATTTTCTGCAAGAGGTAATTATAGGTGGATTAACATTCTGCCTGAAATTATAAAATCGTATAATAATAGAGTTCATCGTACAATAGGAATGAAACCTGTTGACGTAAAACGATCAACGGAATTAAAAGCTTACAATCACCCCAAGATTGTACAGAAACCAAAATTCAATGTAGCAGACATTGTCCGAATTAGCAAGTACAAAGGCGTGTTCGAGAAGGGATATACAGCTAATTATTCAACAGAACTCTTCAAAGTGGTTAAAGTAAATATAACAAATCCTACAACGTATGTGTTAGAAGATATGCAGGGAAGACAGATTAAAGGATGTTTCTACGAATATGAATTGCAAAAAACCAAATATCCCGAAGTATATTTACTAGAGAAGGTCTTGAAAAGAAAGGGCAACAGATTGTTTTGTAAGTGGCTGGGTCTTCCCAACACTCAAAATTCATGGATCAACAAGGCAGATATAGTTTAAACAGTGACTTTTATCTAACATTAGAATATATTAATTGTCTTTGTTGAGAAATGATGGTAGCAAATATTGTTTTTGTTTTGTAACATAGTAAAAAAAAAACATGTAATGAACAAATTATTGTAACAATCTGTATCAATTGAGAAGTAATAATAATAAAAGATATAAATATATTTGAAGCATTTTATTTTCCATTACATAATATTATTAAATACAATATGCAAAAAATAATTATCTTATCCATCAATAAGTCCACATCTAAATAGTTGTTGCTGATTTGTCAAACACCAGCATTTCTTGAAATGTACGTTGGCGTTGCCATAGAGATACCCAGTGTGCTCACATAAAAATGTATTCTCTCTGTCAGCAGCACAGGCACTTTTCCAGCAGTCATCTGTATATGTCCTACAAACAGCGCATCGTTGTCTCAGGGGATGGTCCTCTATTCTACAACGTTCGCAACGGTCTCTAACAATTCCAAAATTTGTAGCTTTTAAATTTATACATTTCTTACATCTGCCAGTTTTTGCTTTTACTATTGGTTTGCGGTTTTCTTTTGCACAGGTCACACAAAGCCCCGTACAATCATTAATAAATGGTTTGTTCGTCATGTAATAACAATTATGGCACGTAATTAAATCCCGCGCACTAAAGGGAAGCGCTTTTACTTTCACTTTTGTGTCCCATTCTTTCGGAAATGGCATTTTGATACTTGTTTACTAGTTGAGACGTTTAAAAAGAAATGAACTCCTCATGCTTCCAAAAATCATTATATAGGTATGTAGGAGTGACCTTTATTTGACTTTTCTAAAAAATATAATTCCTTGCGATATGAGGAATATCATAACATAATCTACTGTTCCTGATCGCGCTCCCCAATTTCAGCGCCTTGCCGCGCGCCTGCGCTTGAGGGGCCGACAGACCCTCTGGAGTCGATGTCCAGGTAAGTACGATTAGATACATGAGTTACAGAATCGGGGAAGTTTACCCCTGGACGCATCCCGCCTAAATTGCGTTGCAACGGCATTGTCCCTTCCAACACGACCTCCCCCTGGACATTAAAGGCTCCCTCCAGCGACTCAGTGGACGTAAGGGACTCACTGAGCCGACCTTCTTCTAGGGCGCGCTCTGGACGGAGCGAGCACGCAGCCAACGTTTCTCTTGAGGTCATTATTACAGTTATACGGAATTTTTAACAGTTTTGTATTATTATGCCCCCCCAATTAGCAATAACAATTATCTCTTTCCCCTTTTCTAGGTAACTACTTTTAAAAGAAAAATGACTAAGGTATTCCCCGAGTTAATGTTTCTGATAAGTCTTTACTACTATCTTTACTACCAAAGTTATTTACTAGTCTTTGTCTCTACCGTTTCACTCAATAGTTCACTTAACCTTTGTTATCACTCTACTCAAAGCTCAATAGTTACAACGGTCTATAGCACTGCCACTTTTGGCCACCCTGTATACAGTCTCACTTACCCTCACGACTACAGTCTGCTCCTTTGGATCAACTTGAAGTTCGGCCCTGCCTCCGAGTGTGCACTTTAGTTTAAACAAAAGGAATCTAGGTAAGCTATTTTTAGGTTTCCCCACAATCAAAGTCTGTTTAATCAAAGTTATTTGTCTATATATGTTTTGCTTTCTAACCTTCAGATTTGGCACTAATAATAGAATTCTTTATTAGGTTTAGTACCTTTATTACCATCAAGACAATACTTATGGTATCGTCGCTATAAACCAAGGAAAGAAACGCCAATTTCACCTGACACGTATATTGTCTTTAACTGTTTACACACTAATATTCTTTCTTTTTAGGTTGGACCTGAAACCCCAGGATGTCGCGTATGATGCTAATACCTCAACTCTCCCCGTGAACCAAATTGGGATTTTTCAAGATTAATATTTTTTCCACAACTCTAACAGGTAAGTAAACTTTTAACTTTTTCTTCCCACTACTATTTCTAGACTTTCCTACCAAAACGAGTCGAATTCAATTGACAGCACTCTCATGGACTGCGAAAAGAACCGCTGGTCGCAACTATCGCAACTTACATATTTATTGGGGACCCATCTCCCAGGCCACGCCCCAAAACGGCGTCTCCGCCAATCCTGGCCTCCGGTCACGCCCCCAATTGAATAAAACTAATTTTTCGATCTACAATTTCCAAAATATCGCGGAAGTCCCCGCGACCGCGACACTATGACGTCACATAAAAAACGCTATATAAGCCTGAGGAGTCATATTGAAAATTAGTTGTAGTCTACAGCTTCCAGAAGACAGTTGTGTGTTCATAAATTTCTATTCAGTGATAATGGCTCGACTT